TTCCACCACAGCTTCCTAAATGGTTGGAACTATAGGCATGTGTCCCCACACCTGGCTAATTTTTGTGTTTTTTGTAGGGATGGGGCCTTGCCATATTGTCCAGGATGGTAACTTCTGAACTCAAGGAATCCTCCACCTCAGCCTTCCAAAGTGTTGGGATTATAGGCATGAGCCACTGCACCTGGCCCATATTATGCACATTTTATTAGCTATTATTACTTCTACTCATTTATTTATACATATTGATTGAGCATTTAACCACAAAACCCAGTCTTTACTGGGTATTTTGCCAGGTACTGTTATAGCCTAGCAGGTTCTTCTTGTCTGCTGCACAGAAAAAGCCTATCCCTACACATAGGCCAAGCTGTGAGATGGTTGTTGCAGCAGAGAGTTTAATAATTGCAGTGTGGCTCAGTGAGGATGATGTGTGATATTTCTCAAATCTTCCTCCTCAAGAATTTGGCGAGTAGGGTTTTTAAGAATAGTTTGTTGGTCAGGGGGATAGGGAATGGGTACTGCTGATTGGCTGAGTTGGGGATGAAATCACAGGAATATTTAAACTGTCTTCATGTGCTGAGTCATCTCCTGGGTGAAGGACACCTGGGTGGTGTCAGTTGGTCCACTGCAAAGTCTGAAAAATATCTCAAACACCAGTCTTAGGTTTCACAATAGCAATGTTATCAGTAGGGGCAATTGAGAAGTTGCAAACTTATAACCACCAGCTGGTGACTCCTGAGTAGTAGGCAGTTACAAAAAGGCAAATTAGGAAACAATGACTAGTTACTATTAACTATACCTAAACCTTAACAGAATTCAGATCCCTACCATAATTCTGTTTGTGGTCTTTCATTAGTTTTACAATGGCAGTTTCTGTCCCCAAACAAAGAGTTAGTTTTGAGAATGGACTGTTATCATCCTTGCTTTAAAGTCAGAACTGTAAACTAAGTTCCTCCCATAGTCAGCTTGGCCTGTGTGTCGGGATGAGCAAAAGCAGTTAGCTTGTGAGGTTAAAAACAAGATGGAGTCAGCTATGTTAGATGTCTCTCACTGTTAAAGTTTTTGCAAAAGTGTTTTCAGTACTAGAACAAGATAGATAAAGTTCCTGTACTCATGAAGTGATACTTCACTGTGTAGTTATTAGAAAAGTTTTAACACTTGCTGTAAGTGATAGTGAAGAATTATTGTTCCAGTTTAATTGAAGTTCCTTCGTGCTTCCAAAAATTTGTATATTTTTATTGAACTAACTTTATGTAGTAGTTTCATTTGCATATATGTGTAAAATGGAAGAGCAGTAACACACCATGCAGTATGAGATAAGAACTCATAAAAGCAATGAAGATGTTCTTATGAATCCTAGAATATTTGCTGCTGGTTTTGTGTTTCGATTATTCAGTAAATGGATCTACAGTTCATTTAATTTCTATATTTTTTTCTTTTTAAAAGTAAGGTGGTTTTAGTATGAAGATAAATTGTGTTTTGGTTTAACTTTGGAGTTCAATTTTAAAAGAAGCACTCCAACAGAAGTTGGATTTAATATGGCCTGTTCCACAGTGAGTAGGTCAGTGCAAACTTGCCTCAAGTCCAAGGAAGCTGAGAGGCCAAAGACAGTGGCTGAAATATCCAGTTCCTCAAAAAGAAATATTTAATAGGGTCTTAGAAGCAGCAGCCATGTCTATGGCTCAGGCAGTAGCAAGACAAGATGGTGGATTCCCACACTATTGTCACCTACACCCAGGGCTTAAATACCATATATATCCCCTTGAGGTATACTTGCTTCAAGGGGGATGTGTAGGACAATTGAAGTATAATTATGTCAAGGATTTTTTTTTTTTTTTTTTGTCGTAAGGGCAGGATTTGTGGTAAGTATGTGTTCTTACACAAGGAACGGTAGAAAACTGGACCTCTTAGAGGCTTTCCTGGAACTGGGGTTAACTGGAAGTCAGTATGGCAGATTAGTATCCAAGATGGAGTTGTTTTAGCCTCCACATGGTGTTTTACTTTTAGATAATTGAAATGTCTTACTAGAGATACTGTATTTAAGTGTTGCATGATAGAAAAGGAGAGTCTTAGGGAATGAGTAATACCAGGAAAACACTATGTAACTTATTTTTTATTGTTTCTTTGAAGCTGAGGACAAGAGTAAGTTGCTAATTGACCATCATTTTATCCTTTCATTCTTATGACAATTTAATAGATAACACAGTTTTGCAAATATATGTAAAATATTTTAAGTGGTTAACATGTACTGTGTACACTGTGCCTGGCCAAGAACATTTTTTTAAAATTGTGTTCTCCATTGTACCCATTCTTGCTAGCTTACAACCCCCTTCTTAAACAAAAACATAGAGAATGAAAGAGCAGTGTTGTAACTGATAGATAGCACAGGTGTGAAAAAAATGAGTCTTTTTTTTTTTTTTGGAAGGGAAGGGGTCTTGCTATGTTGCCCAGGCTGGTCTCAAACTCCTGGCCTCACACAGTCCTCCCACCTTAGCTTCCCAAGTAGCTGGGATTATAGGTGAAGCCACTGCACCGGGCTTTGCTGAGTCTTAGTCATATTTATATTTGAAGTCATTTAGGAGGCAAATTTTTTTCTGTTTCATCAGTCTACCAAATCTTCATCTACAAGCTTTGGCCTCTTACTCTTCCTTACTTTCAGGCAAGCTCCTTCAAAACCTGTCTGCCCTCATATATCATATTCCATTTACTCTTTAACCCATTATAAACTGGCTTCTGCCCCTTGACTCACTAATGACTTCCTGTTTATATTAGTATTTCTCAGCCTTTTTGTATACTTGTCAGTGTTCACTTCCGTCTTCATGAAATGTTCTTCTCCTTTGGTTTTGTGTGATACCCCTCTCTCAGTTTCCTCCTGTCTTTCAGGCTATTGCTCTATTTCCTTGAGGGACTTTTGTTTTTCCTCATGCTTTGAATGTTGGATTTTCTAGGGTGGGCATGTTGGATCATGCCTATAATCCCAGCACTTTGGGAGGTTGAGGTGGGAGGATTGCTTGAGCCCAGAGTTTGACACCAGCCTCGGTAAGATAGTGAGACCCTGTCTTAAAAATAATAATAATGTTACATTTTCCAAATTATGTGCTTAAGTTTCTTCTTATATTTTATTCTTTCACTTGTCAATCTTCCATCTATTGTCCATGAACTAATGGTTCCTCACTAATGCATCTGGAGCTCTGCCTTTTGGTCTCCACACCAGGCCTGAACTTAACAATGTCTACTGAATTCAATTGATTGTCCTCAAAGTCAGCATTTTAATATCCCTTAAAATCTATACAACCTACTGTATTCTCTTACTTTGGTACAACTTTTCATTTAATTTTACCAATTCTAGTTTAAAAACTCCATCTTTAGTATCAGTCAAATTTATCTTATTTTATCTATCTCTACTCGCCTTATTCTTTCTCCTGGCTATTTTAACTATCCCCAGAGTGAGCTTCTCCACTAGACTGCCCTTTGTAGTCTGCTCTCCTCATTGCCACCACAGTGTTTAGTATGTTATTCTTTATCTTAAAATCTTTTTGTTACTTTTCATTACCCTGCAGTAGTTTTCAAGTATCTATCCGTGCTGTACCTGCTTTAGGATCATTTAAAGAACCTTTTTTTGAGGGGGCGGGATGGAGTCTTGCTCTGTTGCCCAGGCTAAGGTGCAATGGTGCAATCTCGTCTCACTGCAACCTCAGCCTCCCAGGTTAAGTGATTCTCCTACCTCAGCCTCCCGAGTAGCTGGGATTATAGGCCCCAGCCACCATGCCCAGCTAATTTTTATATTTTTAGTAGAAACTGTGTTTCACCATCTTGGCCATTCTGGCCTCAAACTCCTGACCTCTTGATACGCCTACCTCAGCCTTCCAGAGTGCTGAGATTACAGGCATGAGTCACTGCACCCGTAGGCCAAGAACTTTTGAGGCCAGGTACAGTGGCTTATGCCTGTAATCTCAGCACTTTGGGAGGTTGAGGTGGGCAGATCACTTGAGCCTCCGAGTTTGAGACCAGCCTGGGCAACATAGTAAAACCCCGTCTCTACAAAAAAATAAAAAAATCAGCCAGGTGTGGTGGCCACACACCTGTAGTCCCAGCTACTCAGGAGGTTGAGATGGGAGAATCAGTTGAGCCCTCCAGGAGGCAGAGGTTGCAGTGAGCCAAGATCATGCCACTGCACTTCGGCCTGTGCAACAAAGTGAGACTCTGTCTTCAAAAAAAATAAAAAAATAACAACCAACTTTTGAAAAGCTTATTTTCCGTCTCTTTCTCCACAGATTCTGAATCAATATAAAACTTACGAATCTTTAAAAAGTTTTCCACTGCCTTTGAGTCAGTGGTGTCATAAAACAAAAATAAAGTTTTCCAGATGGTTTCAATAAGTAGCCAGGGCTGAAAAGCACTAACCTATACATGTGGCTCCGTTCTTTTTCGGGGTCTTTGCATGCTTTTCTTTAATCAGATTTCTGCTGTACCTCTGCTCCCCTCTGTGCCTCAGCCAGCACTATTTTGGGTTTCTCAGTTGAAAATCACTGGGCTAATCCACATCAGTGAGGCCCAGAAAGATTGTCTGTCTTGCTGAAGTCATAACAGTGAGTACCATAACATATTTAAAATTCAGGGTTTATATTCGTAACATAGTTCTTGCTTATTGCTCTCCTGTGGCTTCGTATGCATTGTATCTGGGCAGGTTAATCTGAATTGACCACTTAATCTTTTCCTCCCTAAATAAATTAGCATATATTTGTTTCCTCATTCATATATTAATTTGTTTATTGATTTATTCAAATATTCATTTATTTGACCACAAGAAATAGTACAGTGCCTGGGGGGAGAGGAGGTAGGTAGAAAATTTGAATAATGTAAGTTTTCTATCCTTAAGATTCTCAAGATGTATTTTATATTCCATCATAAAATACTATACAGAAAAGCAAATTAATTTTTTTTAAGAGAAACCATAGTATATTCTTTTCCACTGTTTTCTTTTCTTTTTTTTTCTTATCCAGGGAAAGACCATGTTTGTAGATTCATTGGCTGTGGAAGGAATGATCGATTCAACTATGTGGTCATGCAGTTGCAGGTAGGTTACCTTGAAAACCTATCTATAAATGCTTCGGTTTTGATCAAAGTAAACAATTATAGTGAATGTGATAAAAGTAACAGCATTCTTACTACCATGCAAGAATGTTTTATACTATGCAGATGGAACTTTATTTAAACAGACTTGATACAGATTTTCCAAAAATGAAATAACTGTCTTTGTCAGCTATTTGAGTTGACTGTATCTTTACTGATTGTAATCTTTGCAGTTTTCGATTCCTGCATGGATGAGGGGATATAATGTGAATCTTGTCCCTTCCACCCTTCATTACCTTAGGGATTCCTGTCTTCCATTTGCATTCTCAAGTATTGTCTTAGTCTGTTTTGTGCTGCTACAGAATCCCCAAGACTGAGTAATGCATAAAGAACAGAGATTTATTTCTTACTATTCTAGAGGTTGGAATACCCAAGATCTAAGGACCCACATCTTGCAAGGGCCTTCTTGCTGTATCATTTCATGGTAGAAGTTGGAAGTGCAAAAAAGTATGCACATGAGTAAGGAAGGTGAAGAAGGGGGCCCAGCTCATCCTTTTTATCTGGAACCTACTTCCAAGATAACTACCCCACTTTGACACCAATGATATTAATCCATTAATGAGTTAAGAACCCTCATGACCTAATTACGTCCTAAATGTCCCACCTCGTTACACTATTGCATTAGGGATTAAGTTTCCAACACATGAACTTTGGGGAACACATTTAAACCATAGATGTGTCTGTTCATTTCCTTTGCTCATTTTTAAATTGCATTGTTTTTTGCTTGTTGATGTGTTTAATTTCCTTATAGACTCTAGATGTTAGACTTTTGTTAAGATACATAGTTTACAAATATTTTCTCCCATTCTTTAGATTGTCTGTTTTCTCTGTTGATAGCTTCTTTTGCTGTGCAGAAACTCTTTAGTTTAATTAGGTCCCAATTGTCATTTTTGTTTTTGTTGCAAGTTGCTTTTGGAGACTTCATTATAAAATTTTGCCAGGGCCTATGTATTTCCCAAGTTTTCTTCTAGAGTTTTTTATAGTTTTAAGTCTTACATTTAAGTCTTTAATCTATCTTAAGTTGATTTTTATATGTAACAAAAAGAAGGAGTCTAGTTTCAGTCTTCTCCATTTGGCTAGCCAGTTATCCCAGCAGCTTTTATTGAATACAGAGTCCTTTCCCCATTGCTTGTTACTGTTGACTTTGTTGAAGATCAGATGGTTGTAGGTGTGCAGCTTTATTTCTGGGTTCTGTAACCTCTTCCAATGGTCTCTGTGTCTGCTTTTGTACCAGTGCCATGCTGTGTTGGTTACTGTAGCCTTGTAGTATAGTTTGAAATTAAGACTTCTCAAAAGAAGACATATATGTAGTCAAAAAGCATATGAAAGAATGTTCAATACCACTAATCATTAGAGAAATGCAAATCAAAACCACAGTGAGATACCAGCTCACGTCAGTCAGAATGACTATTATTAAAAAGTAAGAAAATAACAGATGGTGGTGAGATTGTGGTGACAAGGAAACACTTAGACACAGCTGGTGGGAATATTAATTAGTTCCACTACTGTGGAAAGCAGTCTGGAAATTTCTTAGAGGACTTAAAACAGAACTACCATTCAACCTAGCAATCCCATTACAGGGTACATACCCAAAGGAATAAAATCATTCTACCAAAAAGACACATACACTCATGTGTTCATCATAGCACTATTCGCAATAGCAAGCACATGGAATTAACCTTACATGCCCATCAATGATGAACTGTATAAAGAAAATGGTCGGGTGCAGTGGCTCATGCCTATAATCCTAGCACTTTGGGAGGCCGAGGTGGGCGGGTCATGAGGTCTGGAGTTCGAGACCAGACTGATCAACGTGGTGAAACCCCATGTCTACTAAAAATACAAAAATTAGCCGGGCATGGTGGTGTGTGCCTGTAATCCTAGCTACTCTGGATGCTGAGGCAGGATAATTGCTTAAACCTGGGAGGCAGAGCTTGTGGTGAGCCAATCATGCCATTGCACTCCAGCCTGGGCAACAAGCAAGATTCTGTCTCAAAAAAAAAGGGGGGGTGGGGGAAGAAAAAAAAATGTAGTACATGTATACCATGGAATACTACACAGCTATAAAAATGAACAACATAATGTCCTTTGCAGTAACATGGATGCATCTGAAGGCCATTATCCTAAGCAAATTAATGCAGGAATAGAAAATCAAATACTGCATGTTCTTACTTATAAGTGGAAGCTAAACACTGGGTACACATGGACACAAAGAGGGGAACGATAGCCTACATTGGGGTGGAACAAAGAAGAAGGATGAAGGTTGAAAAACTACCTATTGAATACTGTGCTCACTACCCATGTAACAGAATCATTTGCACACCAAACCCCAGTGACACACAGTTTGCCTGTGTATCAAACCTGCACGTGTACCCACTAACCTACAGTAAATATTAAAAAGGAAAAACTATAGCAAGTACCAGTCTTGACTACTTGAAACTTTAAGCAGTAGTTGAGATAGAAGAGAAATGCCATTCTTTTTTCTTTTTTTCATCAGTAATGTAACTGTTTCCTATTTTTTTTTTTTTTTTTTTTTTTTTTTTTTAGTTGGAGTCTTGTTCTGTCACCCAGGCTGGAGTGTAGTTGTCAATCTTGGCTCATTGTAACCTCCCCCTCCCAGGTTCAAGTGATTCTCTGCCTCAGCCTCCTGTGTAGCTGGGATTACAGATGTGCCCCACCATGCCTGGCTAATTTTTTATTTTGGGTAGAGATGGGGTTTGATCACGTTGGCCAGGCTGTTCTCAAACTCTTGATCTCAGGCATTCTGCTTGCCTTGGCCTCCTAAAGTGTTGGGACTATAGATGTGAGCCACTGTAGCCTGTTTCCTGTTCTGTAGATGGCAGTGGAGTTAGGTCGAGAGAGCAGAGGAAAGAAATTCAGAGCAGGATTATTGGAATAATGGCTACAGTGGGGAGAAGAAGGAAACCATTTTGTTTTATCTGACATTATCTCTGAACACACACATACACACACACACACACACACACACACACACACACACACACACACACACACACCCCTGAACTGTAGTCACCCTCAGAGCTTAGAAGCCATATTTCATCTTGATCTTGCTGCCTAGACCTAGAATTCTCAGTGTTTCTTTTCATCTTAAGCAAACTTTGTTTTGGGCGTCTCTTTTTTTTTTTTTTTTGAGACAGAGTCTTGCTCTGTCACCCAGGCTGGAGGTGTGCCCCACCATGCCCAGCTAATTTTTGTATTTTCAGTAGAGATGGGGTTTCACCATGCTGGCCAGGCTGGTCTCAAAATCTTGACCTCAGACAATCCACCCACCTTGGCCAAAAGTCCTGGGATTACAGATGTGAGCCACCACACCCAACCTCTGAACCATTTTAGGTAATTAATTTGGATCCTGCTTTCTCTCATTTTGGCTAGTAATAATAAAACTTTTTGTGTGACATTTTATAGTTTTCAACTGGATTTATCATACATCTCTTTTGATCCTCACTATACCCCCATGAGGAGGGGAGAACAAGTTTTATTCTTGTTTGTGCGTGGAGAGGCTATGTTTCAAGGAGATTTGTGATTTGTGTGGTACTAAGTTACTTGTTGGGTGTTAAACCTTGGTGGAAGCTTGAAGCCAGTATTCTTTAGGCAATAATAGGAGAAAACTGTTAATTTTGTCTCAGGTTACTACTGACTGGAGAATTACAGAAAGCAGCTTTTTTCCTTTAGTCTGCAGAGTCTCTCTCAGCCTTAGCATATACTTGTTTTCATTCTTGTACTTACCTAAATCTGACTTTCTGTAAATGGGACAGCTCCTAGTACTGGGAAACCTAAAAGACTGGTGTATATTAGGCAATGATGGCCTTTGTGGCCTTTGGCAAGTTCTTATGGACTTGTCTAAGAACCTTTCCATTTGAATTGCATGCTTTGGCCGGGCGTGGTGGCTCAAGCCTGTAATCCCAGCACTTTGGGAAGCCGAGGCGGGTGGATCACGAGGTCGAGAGATTGAGACCATCCTGGTCAACATGGTGAAACCCCGTCTCTACGAAAAATACAAAAATTAGCTGGGCCTGGTGGCGCATGCCTGTAATCACAGCTACTCAGGAGGCTGAGGCAGGAGAATTGCCTGAACCCAGGAGGCGGAGGTTGCGGTGAGCTGAGATTGCGCCATTGCACTCCAGCCTGGGTAACAACAGCGAAACTCCGTCTCAAAAAAAAAAAAAAAAAAAAGAAAATGAATTGCATGCTTTATTTTTTTTTCTTTCATAAGAAAGTTAACCCATTTAAACTTCCATCTGTATAGTTTCTGGTTGACTTGATTTGGGACTAGGCTAAAGCTGGTATAATCACTAGAGCATATTTTCTCTTATTTGACATACGGCAGATAACTACTGGGTCTCCTCCATATATTCAGCTTCCCACAGATAGTCCTAATTTATTCTAAAAACTATAAATTCATTATTCATAAGTTAAGCTTGTTTTTTTCCTCCTGCTGATTCCATTACATAATATCTGTCTTAAAAATTTTTAAGGAACAACCCTATCTCTGTAGTAGAAATTCTAACTATTTGCCATTAAAATGATTCTTAATATCTTGCAGAGCTCAAGCAGTTGTACATGTTTCTTTTTTTTTTTTTTCTCAATTCCCCTTGCAAGACCTTGGCCAGGTCTCGTCTAATATTTTGTCACCATTGAAGCTTTACATGAGCATCTTTAGTATAGCAAAAGGGTGATATATTGTGATAAGTACATCAACTACAGAGGTACAAAATAATGTTTTCAAGTTCTATAACCAGTACAACTTTAGATCTAGATTGCCTAACACCTAGTATCTTTTAAAAACTTTCTATTATGGGAAAAATTAAACATGCACAAAGTAGAGAAAATAGTATAATTTGCACCCGTCTACTCATTACCCAGCTTCAACAACCATCAGTGTATGGCTAATCTTGTTTCAGGTATTTTCTCTTTCTCCTATCC